CCTCGCCCGCCGCCGCGCCCGCGCCGCAGTCCGCGCCCACCACTGCACACACAACACAATGTACTCGAGGCCCCGCCCGCCGCGCGCGCTGCGACCGCTACGTACCGGCGGCGGGCGCGAGGTCGGGCGGCGTGGCGGGCAGTGCGTCGGGCGTGCGTGGCTCGGGGTCGTGCGCGGAGCTCTGTGTCTCCCAGGAGTCCTCCGACCCGGAGCCCTCCGAGCCCCACAGCTCGCCCTCCTCACTGTCATACTCGCCGACCTGCAGGACATTGAAACACATTACAATTCGGATCAAAATATTGCTTCCACAAAATCTCGTAAATTCATAAATTGAGTAAACTTTCATATTTGGTAATCGTTCTTCTGGCATATTATAGGTAAAGTTGATGTAAAACATTATTATTAAATTTTCGTATTTACGTGTCTCACCTTATATAAATCCTGTGGCCAACACATACTAGTGTGTCCATCCACCCACCATACTTTGACGCGCCCAGACGGGAAGTTGTCTATTACCTTCAAACAATAAAATTAATAAATATTTTAAAAAAATGCAGACTATAAACATAGCTACAGTACATATTCATCATCCGGTAAAATTAAGTAAAACAATTACAGTAGAATTGAAAGCCAATTCTTCATGTAGATAAAATTGTAATACACAGAGTGTTTGGTTTCGGATTTTGGATACATTACAATAATCTGTGTTCAAAATAAAATTGGATTGGTTCAGAGTTCAGACCCTACGAAACAGGGTCATACTCTTCATTGCTCAATGAGAAACATGGTGAATATTTTTTTCCAATACTAACCTGTCCAGCTGTACAGTTAGCGTCCTCCCCTGTAAAATTGGCGACCCTGATGACGACGGTGCCGGGCCGGTACTGGAAGTCAGGGTGGTCTTTCAGGTCGTACACGCTCACCTCGCTCTCGTGTAACATTTGTGGCCTAGTAAACAAAGAATCAGGGTAAACTTGGATTTCTTCTTCAGTGATATTTTTGAGATCTTTACATAATCCTGGAATGGTAACAGTAGAACATTATTCAATATTTAAAGAACGAGCTAATTTGACTTTTGTGTCTCTTGCTCTTCTCCTATATTAAGATATGAAATTACGATGGGGTCTAACTTCAGTTCTACTGGCTCTTTCTATGTAGGAAGTTCCAAACCGACCCAATTATGATACTGGTATGAACAGAGCCATAAAACAGAGAGTGAACAGAGAGAGATATAAAACACATGAGAATAGAAAATGACTCACACTGGTTCGTCAGCGCTGGTGTAGGTGCGGTACCAGTGTACGATGGCGGTCCGGCCGTGGTGGTCCACGCGCTGCACCACGCCGTACTCGCGGTGCTTCAACTACAACAAACATACATAATTTAGATTAGACTAATAATCGATTTCAATACAAAATCTCTTGATCAAATTAAGTTTAGTCTTCTTTTAATAGATATTTATATTAAAGATATACAACATTATCACTCTTTCCTTGGAAATAGCTTTATTTTAAATTGTTGACAAGTATTAAAGTTATGTTTCGATATTCTATAAATATATTAATGAACGATAATCACCTGTTGGTTCTCCTCGACATTAGCTGCTCCGCTGACAACGAAGTCACCAGGGAAGCACTCCTGTCCGTCTAGGTGGTGGATCGGATACAGTTGTGTGGATGGAATGCCCATTTCTATTGTGCCGTCCTGTGGAGTACATAACATGACATGACGAGATATTGCAGACAAGTTAAAGTGCCACACAAGTAGGCAATTACATCGTTCGTGAAATTACAGGCCCATTTTTTTATGGCGTAATCCGGTAAACGAGCAGACGGATCACCTGATGGTAAGCAATCGGCGTCGCCCATGGAAACTTGGAACACCAGAGGCGGTACAAGTGCGTTACTGGCCTTTTGGGGATTAGGAATTTGAGGATTGTTGGGGATTCAGGAATTGGGGAGATTGGGGGAAGGGGAGGGTAATTGGGCCTCCGGTAACCTCACTCATACGACGAAATACAACGCAAGTGTTGCTTCACGTCGGTTTTCTGTGAGGCCGTGGTATCACCCCGATCGAGCCGGCCCATTCGTGCCGAAGCATGGTTCACACTTAAATTATGTAAGTGGCTGCTCAGTCATTAGAGTTGTGGATTCGGAGATCGATGAAAATAGATTATGGGGCAACTGTGGATAATACTGAGAACGTACCTGCCAGACGACATTGGCTCGGCTGGTGGTGTGCAGAGTCTCGACGACGACGCGGTCGCCGGGGCGCGGCGGCGGCGCGGGCGGCGCGCGGCGCACGGTCCGCTTGAGGCGCTTGCCCCGCAGCAGGCGCACGGCCAGCTGCGGCGACCGCTTGCCGCGCCCCGACGCCGCCGACGAGCAACGCGACGACCACGTCGCACCACTGACGTACACAATCTCACTGTACATGGCTCTTTATACTATCAGTATCATGACTTACAACATGCCAGCACGTTCAAACTTTCCCCAATCTGTCAAATTACTGCAATAGGTTTTCAATTTTATGATTTCATTTATAAAGTCGAAAACCTGCTGCAGGAATTTGACAGTTCGGTAGCTTGATGTGCTGGTGTGCTGTACCTAACTAATGACAAATTAGAAGTACTTATCAACAGCATGTGTTTTCAATGAATAAGTGAATGACTTTAGGGTTTAATGGCATGATGAGATGATATTCACCTGTCAGTATCACTGCCATCGCTGCTGGTATTCTCCCAGTTGTCGGAGTCATCGTCATTGAGCGCGGTATCAGACTTGCTGTCTCCGTTGAGCAGTGAGGAGTCGTCCCGCGCGGGCTCAGGACTGCGGACGTGCCATCTAGTTAGTCCACAGTGACCTCGTCAGATGAGCACACAACTAAACATATCATGCAGTACATAGATCCCACTATAATGCTACTAGGATACGATGTTATGTCCAGTAATGTTTGATTTTAATTAATGCAAGTATTTAATGATGAAATAGTTTAAAAAAACTGTGCAGGTAATTAGTAGTGACTATTCAGAAAAATATGCAAATACTTATAATATTTAAAACTCTAATTGTGACTTAAAAAACTGGAACATGTGCTAATCTCAAGCAATTCAGTATTTTCGATAAGAATCGCGAATAAAAATAATTTATTATAGAATGATTTTTAAATGACAATGTAATTTAGAACACTGAGAAATTCGATTTTCAGATGGCTCCCATTTAGACAGTGAGAGTGAGACGCTTTCGTGATTGTATCGAAAATCCGAACACAAACATCCTGTACATATACTCTCTATAAATATAAGCTTCTACAATTTTCTTCAACCAGTAGTCTACAACGTACCTGATCCCAGAATCATTCTTCTCCTCAGTGGCCGTGTCTTCCTGTGAGCTGGCCATGGGGAGACAGACGTCTCCTATAGGCTCGATCTTGATGCTGGGGCAGGTGGCGTCCATCTTTAGAGCATCGTCGAGAGATTCTAGCTTGTCGTCTGCTGGATCTACTTCCATGTCGTTCTGTGGATGAACGGTTGTTTAGTGAGTGTGTTGTTGGAGTTGTGTTTTTAAAAAGTTTTTTTTTATTTTCTGTGCCTTTAGCCAAACGCCACTTTAGCGCTTGTCTACAGAGAGAGTAGAAAATTGAATGTATGGGGATGACACTGACAAATGTCAAAATTTACGTCAATTCCATATAATTTGGTTTTCTATTCTACATGTAGACAAGCGCTAAATAGCATTTAGCTACAGCTGCAGATTACGCAATCAGTCATGCTATGAGCAGGACCTTGCTTAAGGATAAGATAATCTATTAAATGTATTAATTTTACAACCAATACAGTGAGTCATACGAAATTAATTATGTTGTAGTTGGCTGCGCGATGCTCGCCGCTTCATTTGTCGCGCAATGCTACTCATAACTAAGAGCCTCCGGCGTGGCTTGAAAATAATCGCGTTACTTCGATACTCGTCTTAATATTTCCTTACTAACTAGTAATCAAGTTTATAATGTGATACTTACATCGTTCGACTTCAGTTTCCGATGTGCCGAGGCTCGTTTCTTAGGCCGCGAGGGCACGTGGTCAGTCGAGTTGGTGTCGGTTTTCGAAGGTTTCTTTATCGGTTTGGTTTGCTTACGGAGATTCCTGTAGTATTTACCTGTAACAACAATACGAATATAAATTGATCATTTTCATTTTATTAGCTGGCTAGTTACTTTATATCATTTTTTTTTAAAAAAACGTTGCCCCACACAAGTATTTTCTCCTGTGTCGTGGGTGCGTTTACAACACAATTTCACATACACAATATGACACCCAGACCCGAAACAACAATTTGTGGATCAATCAAAGTGTTGCTCCGTGCGGGAATCGAACCCGCGACACGTTGCACGACAGCCGGTTGCCCAGCCACCGCACCAACCGTGCAGTCATTGGGTGAAGCCTATGTTCAACAGTGGACGTCTTATGGCTGACTAGCGACCCGCCCCGGTTTCGCACGGGTGCAATATGCATGTATTAAATACATATAAACCTTCCTTAAGAATCACTTTATCTATTAAAAAAACCGCATCAAATTCCGTTGCGTAGTTTTAAAGATCTAAGCATACATAGAGACAGACAGACGGTGGATAGCGACTTTGTTTTAAGTATAAAACAAAGTCGCTATCCACCGTCTGTCTGTCACTACATAGTAATGTAGTGATATCATAATGATGAACTGTTTAAGTTACAAAAACTTCAAATTGTTATATAAAAAGGGATGTATTTCATACAAGGAGATTTCGTTAACAACCAGCAAACAAAAAGCAGTCTTTAATTAATTTGGTCATAATTAGACAATATTAAATCGACAATTGGACTGCAATTTTTCACACTCATTTCGAGTTAATAGAAAACTGTTGAAAGTAAATTACTAACTAAATAGATAGACAAAACTTAATACTAACATCATTAAGAAAAAGTTTTTAACTTTTCAAAATTCATAGTTTTTCAAATTGTCAAAACGTTTTCAAAAATATCTAACTAGAGAATTATATTGTGAACCTGATTGAAAAAGAGTAACCTATGGAGTTTCTTGCTCGTTCTTTTCCATAGGAATCTACACCTTGGAATGAGCAAATAGCTTCACTTTTAAATTTTTCATTGACGTTCAAAAGTGCCTTCCTGGTCTAATTGAAATAAACTATTTTGACTTCTGACTTTAAAATAACTTTGTATAAAGATATATTATATTTAACTAGAGATACTCACTTTGTTGTTTCCTCCATTGCTTCTTACTTACAAAGGTGTCTTCAGCGCCGATGGTGAGGAAGTTTCTGTCACCGACCTGCAGTGTGCACGGCTCGAATACATTCAGCAGCTTTAGATTCTTCAGATCTTCACCTGGGCGAGCAACCAATGTCTTGTTAATAATTAGTAATTAAAGCGTAAAATGTCACGACCTACATTCTTAAAGAGGGTAAAAATATGTAAAGATTATAAGGTGTAATATAGGTACTTTACTATAAGGGTGGATTTCAAGTCAGTTAAGTCATTGAGTTGACTACTGACAGAAAACTGTAGAAGGTTAAATCCTCTTAAACTGCACTATTAGTTTTAACCGACTTCAAAAAAAGCAGTAGGTACTATGTTCGGCTGATTGTTTTTTTTTGTTCGCCGATTATCTCGGATAAATATTCAATACTTATCCGAGATAATCAAGATATAGATATAATAATAAGATTAATACTTTTTTGGACAAATAACACTCGAGTTAAAATGGATAGTTGCAGAAACGATAATTATCAATGAATTTTATAAGCGACTGCACGTTGTGACGCCATAATATATTGTTGACTGTTACTAAATAAATACTAGTAAATAATTAAATTTAAATTAAGAATATACTGAAAAAAGCTCTACTAGTTTAGAACCACAGGGGTTCTTCCTCTTTCGCACACTGCTCATGATCCCCTCTGTAAACTATTAGAGCTTTTCTCAGTATATTCACGTGAGGAACCCGCGAGTTTTAGTTACACATTGGATGCTGTGTCGGACAAAGATGTCCGACACTAGTGGAGGATTACCCTTTAACAGTTTTTATCGGCAGCTAAAGGCTTAATAACAGCATTCTTTAAAACTTTTGAATGAAGTGAAGAGTGACAATATAATTCATTTATCTCATGAGCTAATGTGCATATGCGCTACGGGTCTAATGCGTTAAGAATTTCACATTGTTCATTTCCCCAGGACTACGAGGTAGTTTGGGCGCGTGCCAGAAAGTTATGATTATTCTATTTCGTGTACCACGTGCAGTGCGATGCGGAGTGCATCAGTTATTTTATGTCCTAGATGTTTTTATAATAACTATACCCTCATGTTGAAGTATCTATCAAATTTTTATAGAAAATATTTTATGGTAAAAGTAAAAGTGTTCACCAAACACGGTAAGAGTTTTACTACGTAACATAAAATCAACCTTAATACCTATAAATCTTTCTTTCTAAAATCTTTTATTCCCTAAAGGATTGGGTAAAGGTTAGAGGTATATATATTTGTAACACACACGTTTATTTACGAGTTTAAAACTCAAATTCATAGCGTGAATTGGCTCACCTGAACCAAACCAGATACCTTTACTAACACTTGCATTGGAGACGTCTACCCAGCGAGGCTAGTTTTGTTTTTTATTAAGATATTTCAGTACGTGACGATGGCTTTAAAATGGATGATCGTGTTTGTATTCGGAAGTCTGAAGACTTAGTTCCGAGTTTGTTTTGCGTTTAAAGTAATCAAAACGAGTACACGTTCGGCACTCTGATTGGCCGGCTCCAATGAACTAGCCAATCAGAGCGCCGAACACGGTCTCCTTTCGACAAGTAAAACATACTCGTACTAAGGCCAAGATCTCAATAGTAGCGAACTTTTATGTCTAGCAGCGGACCGAAACAGTCTAATGATGATGATAATGTTTACCTTCGACTAGGAACTTGGGTTGCTGCGGCGTGGTGGGGTCGGTGGGGTTGGTGCACAGCGCGCGACACTGCCAGTGCACGCTCACGCTCTCCGTCATCACCGCCTCCACGGTGAACTGGGGACAAACAAGTGGCTGGCTGTAGCTTCGACAGAATTCTCTAACATAAGTTTTACATAACATAACATCACGCCTTTTATCCCGAAGGGGTAGGCAGAGGTGCACATTA